GGTTTTTCAAACTATTTTTAAGATTATGGCCCATCTAGAATTACCCCATATTAGTTTCTGAAACTTGCTCAAAGATGACCGATCTTGGCCTCTCTCAACTGATGCCAGATAGAGCAAGACCCTGGACAGTAGGAGTCTTTTCAAACTTTAACCCCAAGGCAACTTCATCTGCCACATTTTGCTACGACACAGACCTAGTTAGGTTTTATTGGTACTGTACTGTTAGGCAGGTCCATAATAAATAGTCTAACCCTCAACCCCGTTCTATCACAAAGGACAAGACAATCATAAAGGTAGAGGATGAATCACGGACACTCATCTATTCTCTCCTACCGCTGTCCTTCATTTCACCCTGGCTCTGTCCTTCTTACCCTTTCTCACTATAGTCTTCCTCCCCTTCATCCTCTCTCTCACCCATTCACTCACTCTTACTCTCTCTCTCTTTCTATCTCTCTTTCCATCCGTCCACCCCCACCCCATGCACACAGTTCTGACTAGATGACCTGTCTGCTAGCTAGCTAGCTAATTGTATCCTATGCAGTCAGCTAGCTACAAAGTGTGTGTGGACTGGGGATGGGGATGGCTGTGCTACTACTGCTAGCATGGTTCAGTGTGTGTTAGCGTGTTAGCGTGTTAGCTTGGGAGTGGGGGTGTTGAAGCTCTCCTCCAGTATATTGACACTGCCTCTCTCTGATCACTCCCCAACCAACAGGCCTCAGCCAGAGGGAAGCCAACGTTAAGGGTAATACCATTTAATTTAATACTAGACTATTACCCAACAATTACGATTTCACCAATCAAACTCCAAACCGCCAAATAGGTCAGAGTTCCCAAAGAATGTGCATCATTCTGCCCACCACACCCACTCTCCCTCCCTCCCCCAAGATTTGTTCAATTTGTGTGATTTTTTTTATGTGATGTCTTTTCAGAACCCATTCTTCATAGAACCCTAGAGACTGTTTGTCACAGTCGTCCCCCCCGCCCCCTCCCCCCTCTCTCTCTCGTCTGCTTCATGTAGGAGAGGGGGCATCCAATCAGACACACAATGCAGGCCTAATGAGTTCAAATATTTTTTATGCAAATTGGACAGATTTACATTCTCTAGAAGAGAGAGAGGAAGAGTGGGAGAATACTAGTACAACCAGTTATTTCTGTGTAGGAGAGAGAGAGAGAGAGAGAGAGAGAGAGATGGGCAGAGAGAGAAAGAAAGAGAGACTGCGGAAGATGAAGAGGGAGGGAGAGAGCTTCAACCACCCCACCTCAACTCAATGCTCAAGTCATCAACAGCCATCCCCATTGGCGCACAACAACCTGCCAATCAAAAACTCTGATTGATTCTGATTGGAGCTGTCCTATTGTGGATGGGGTTGGGTGTGGTCGTCATGGCGCTAGCTGTGCTCATTGGCTGTTGTTCCTTAGCAACCTGAAAACACTGTTGTCTGCTTGTTTAGTTCTCTGTACAATCTCTGTTTTGGGTTTATAACAACGACATGTCCAACCCTTTTGTCTTGTTTTGTTTTTTCTTGTCTCCTCTTCCTCCTTCCGTTCCTTCTCTCCCCCTATGCCATTGTCCCCTCCCTCCCCGCTCCCTCCCCCTCTATCGCCCCTCTCCCTCCTTCCCTCCCTCCCTCCCCCGCCCCCCTCCCCCTCCCTCCCTCCATCTCTCCCTCACGCCCCCCCTCCACGACCCTCCCGCGTCGCCTAAAGCTACCGTCCCATCCCCCTCCCTCCCAGTCCCTCCGCCCCCTCCCTCGCCTCCCCCCTCCCTCCCCCCAGCCCCTCCATCCTGCCCTCCTCCTCCTCCCTCCATCCATCTCTCCCTCCCTCCCCAATCTCTCCCTCCCCCCTCCCTCCCTCCCTCTCTCCCTCCCTCCCTTCCAATCTCTCCCCTCCCTCCCTCTTCCCCTCCCCTCTCCTTCCCCCTCCCTCCCTCCCTCCCTACAGGATGTGCGTTTGTCACATTTTCTACCAGGGCTATGGCACAGAATGCAATCAAAGCCATGCACCAGTCTCAGACTATGGAGGTACTGTACCCTCGCCCTTTCTCTTCAATTTCCTTTCTTTCTCTCTCTCTCTCCATCTCTCTCTCTCTCCATTTCTCTCTCTCCCAATCTCTCTCCACTCTCTCATCCTTTCACCAATTGCTCTCTCTCCATCTCTCTCGGCTCTCTCTCCATCCTCTCTCTCCTTTCTCCTCTCTCCCATATCTCGCTCTATCTTTCACACTTTCTCTCTCTCTCCATTTCTCTCTCTCTCTCCATTTCTCTCTCTCATATCTCTCTCAATCTGTCACACTTTCTCTCTCTCTCCATCTCTCTCTCTCTCTCGCCATTTCTCTCTCTCCCATATCTCTCTCCATCTTTCACACTTTCTCTCTCTCTCATTGCTCTTTCTCCATCTCTCTCTCTCTCTATCCCTCTCTCTCTCTCCCTTCTCTCTCTCTCCCATATCTCTCTCCATCTTTCACACTTTCTCTCTCTCTCCATCTCTCTCTCTCTCTCTCTCTCTATCTCTGTGTGATAAAATCAGTTGGATGCTGTCACATGCTCGTCATCCTTTGGCCAAATATGTCAAAGTAGGACAAAGAAGAAAAGTCACTTTCAAAACTCTCTGTCACAGCAGTCATTCTTCTCAGAAAAAGAAATAACATAAAAACTGTGGAGAAAAAAAGTGTCAAAACAGACAAGGTAACCTAAGCAAGGACCCCAGATCACACTGACCAGGCTGACTGGCTCTGTTAAGGATGTCACACAGAAAAAGAGATGAGACGGGCAGCATTATAGACGCCCACATTTAGACAGGACCCCCATCAGTGACCCTATGACCTCCCCATCGCCGTGGCTGTGGCCAATGGGAGTGTGTCTGTGTGGGTTGTGGTGTCCTTGTCAGTTTGTAGGGTTTTTGACAGTAGGAGATGACAGGGATGTGATTGCAGGAGAATTACAGGGCCTTGGTCAGACGTGTGTGCGTGTGTGTGTGTGCGTGCGTGATCTGGTAATGACACAGTGTATTACAGACAGAGATTGACAGTCGCCTTAGTGGCCCTCTCATTATGGATAATGATGATGATGATAGTCATCCATATTGATATACTCTGACCCTGACAGGAAAAGGGCTGTCTGTGGCGTCCCTTTGTGTCTCAGTATGTACACACAATCTTCAAGTGTGTGTGTGCATGTGTACGTGCTTGTATACATGTCAATGATGTCTGTGTGGTGCGGTGTGTGTAGGACTTTGTGTTGCAGTTTGAGTGCGTTTACCCCCCATATTGCTCTTAATCAGTGTTCTCTATGTATACTATAATAACCTTCTGGCCCAATGTCCTCTGCTTTTTAACACACACATAAAGCCCTAAACAGGAGGCAGAGATTGCAGTGGACAATGACAATGGAAAAAAGCTTAATTTCCATGTGAAAAACATGCTGCTGACTAGCTCTGGGCAGGACCCAAATTGTTGCACCGTTTTTGTAATGTCCCCCAGTTTGCAATTTAAAAGTAATTACTTTGGGTCCGAATGAGGATTGGTAAATAGAGTTTGGTTATTGTCTTGGCTCTATCGTCCCCCACTGTTTTAGATTGGTAAATAGAGTTTGGTTATTGTCTTGGCTCTATCGTCCCCCACTGTTTTAGATTGGTAAATAGAGTTTGGTTATTGTCTTGGCTCTATCGTCCCCCACTGTTTTAGATTGGTAAATAGAGTTTGGTTATTGTCTTGGCTCTATCGTCCCCCACTGTTTTAGATTGGTAAATAGAGTTTGGTTATTGTCTTGGCTCTATCGTCCCCCACTGTTTTAGATTGTGTGTGCCTGTGTGTCGGTGTGTGTGTGCATTTGTATGTATGTGTGTGTGTGACTTTGCCTTTCACTAATGGCCTTGTCACTGTCATATCCATTCTCATTATACTCTGGCATTCAGGACACACACACACACACACACACACACACACACTTTATAAATGTCAGGGCATTATGAACGTGGATATGACCAGGACAGGTCCTTTACGAGAAAGCACATTCATTTACACACGCACGCATGCGCACCGAGAGAGAGAGAGAGCAGTGGATGTTGATTGTAGGGCAGACTAATGTGGTTGTATTTGTGTTACTCACGGTGTTCTGTAAAGCCTGATGATTTGTGGCTGTGTGTATAATATTCATCCTGCCTATAAAGGCTGATTTGAGTGGTTAGAGGGCTGTTCGCTCTGCTCTGGCTAATATCAGGGCCGGCTCCAGGCATAAGCGACATAACTGACCTAAGCATTGCTTAGGGCCCCCAGCCGCTCGGGGGCCTACGACCAAAAAATATTTGGTTGTGCATCAGTAGTTTTTCTCTTGTTATGTCAGTCACTAACAATCACTGAATTAGCATGTCAGCTAACATTTCTTAGACTGCTAAGTTAGTCTAGCCAACTATCTACACTTGTAGTAATCATGGCCAAATACCGACTAGGCATTCAGGGCAGGTGCACAGGGGCCCTGACCTTCATGGGGCCCCCATTGATTTTGTTAGTCACTTTCACTCAGATATCATCTCCCCTAAAAAGCTAGGGCCGGCCCTGGCTAATATCAGGACTTCTAGAGACAGAAGCTACACACACAACACAGTAACACAGCACAGTAAGTGGAGTGTGAGTGAGGAAACATAGCTGTGTATGTTTGGAGACTGGACAAGGTTAAGGGGAGACAAATAGGAACGTAGAGATTGACACAGTGAGTGAGGTATGGCAAAGAAATAGCTTTCTCTGTGTCTGCTATTTACCACCAGCCCATTAAAACTAACAAGCTCAAAGTCCTATAGACGGGTTGGTTGTTTAGTAACAAAACTGAAACATGCGCAACTATGGGGCAAAACAGACGGTTGGCTTTGACTGTTGACAACATGTAAACTATATTTGTTGGTAAAATTCTGAACACGAGCCTGTTTTAAAACGACGATTTTGATAATTTAATGAAATTATAATTGAAGACTATTTTAAATACAAATATATCCATCTATTCAGGATGTCGAAGTCTTTGGCTTGTAAAACCATTCATGTGTCACCTGCATTGGGGCAGTACAACCCCGATTCTGTGGAGGTGATCATGAGCCAAAACGGCTGTGTTCCAAATGATCAAAGCCAGATTTTTGGCACTGAGCTCAACCTGATGGAGATGACAGAAGGGGAGTACACCCACCTTCAGCACATCATCCAGTCACACATGGAGGCACAGGCGGCTGGTCCAGAGGGATCTGGAGATGCCCGGTTCAACACTACCGTATTCACTGTGGAAAGCCCCGCACCCCAACCTACGACCACAAACTGCGAAGCAGAATACCCAGCAAAGTCTCCACCGAACACTCCACCTGATGTCATATCAACTTCAACTGATGAGCAGCAGTACATTTTCAGCGACTTGAACCAGGGTGGACAGGTTGACATCAAGGAAATTTAAATGGTATTGGTCAGTGACGGGAATGTTATACCTGGAGAAAGGACCCCCACCGGCTCCGTGTTGGCTAAAGTCAGGAGTGCAGTGGATGCGACCCAAGAACGCGGCTTGGAAGCATACAACAACGGTAGCACACAGCTATTGTCCAGGCCCAACCCACCAGGCCCAAGTTCGCTTGGAGAAGAGGTTCAACTGCACCCCCTGTGACATCCCCAGACAACAGGATGTGCAATCAGCAGCTCTTAGCAATTTTTTGACAATGCTTCATCACTCCAATGAGGCGCAAGAAGCAGCAATGCATCCACAACCGCAGAAGTGGGTGAGGTCAGATCGGGGCAACCCTATTGAGCTGTCATACCCATATGGAAGCATGTTCTACCCCATCGCTGGCGCCTGTCAAGGGTTTGGGATGGTCCCTCATATGCTTGAACCCAATAAGCATCAAGGGTTGATCATTCCAAAGAACTTCACATTCAGCTATCGGCCAGACAAGATGCCTGACAAAGTTCCATGTGTCAACAGCCCCAACTCAACAGAGGAGAAAGTTTGGGTGAAGGTGGAAGATGATGCTGTGGCGAAGCCTGCTAAACGCGGTAGGACCCGTGGACCCTGCGCTATCAAGGCCCCCGGCATTGTCCCAAACTCAGTGGAGGGAAGAGCAGCTGGAGGAGCAGGCACCAGGAAGAGAGGAGGGCCACCAGTGGAAAGTAGCCAGCGCAGAGAGAGGCACAACAGCAAGGAGCGGGACCGCAGGAGGAGGATCCGCTTCTGCTGTGATGAGCTGAATGTGCTGGCGCCGTTCTGTAACCACGAGACGGACAAAGCCACCACCCTGCAATGGACCACCGCCTTCCTCAAGTACGTCAGAGAGGTGTACGGGGACTCCATCAAACAGGAGTTCCAGGGCACGTTCTGTGGCAAGACTGGTCAGCGGCTCAAGCCCAGCAGTGCCTCAGGTCAGGTCATGGTCCGCCAGGAGACAGCAGAGCCACGAAGCGCCCCACAGGCATCGGAGCAGTAAATACACACCTACACCTATTTAATAATTATTCTATTTATTATTAATTTATTTTACTCTCAAGAGTAGCTTTGCTCCATCGGGTTTGGCTTTGGAATGTTAGCTGTCACAAAAGCATCAGGTATTGCCAGAGAGACAGACACATCCATTTGATAGTTTTTTGAGGGTAGAAAAAGGATTTGGGTGTTCTGTTTATTTCTTTATTACAACACCTTGAAATATTATTTTTCCTCAAAGTGATTATTACCCCCCTTGACAGGGCATGTACTCCAACATCTACATTTCCGTCTTGATCTAGTTGGTCACAATTTTTTTATCAGAGATTTCATAAATGTTTATTTTGCTTAAAAGTGTTCAAGTTCGACTGATATTTGAAACGAGCTTCCCTTCCAAACCTCATGAATGACAATAATTAAAACAGGTGAAGGTTTTAAGTTTCAGACCATGGAAGTAACATTTCAACATGGTTTTGAGGGTCTTGATTGTACAATGCATGTTTAACTGCACTCCATGACTCCTATGGATGAGGTTAGTGTATATGAGGAAGAAGGAGATATGTTTTTTTTTTATACAACTTTACATAATTGTGATTCTTTGAGCCAACAAAACTTTTTATAAAAAAGAAGAGTACTTTACTGAAGGTCGTGCACAGGAGGCACTGTTTCTCTACGATAGAAGAGAATGTATGAAAATGTATGCACTCACTAACTGTAAGTCGCTCTGGATAAGAGCGTCTGCTAAATGACTAAAATGTAAATGAATTTCATCTCCAATGTTTATTGAAAACATAAATAATTTTGCACAATGAGCACTTGTCTCTCAAATACATCATTACAGTTGTTTGTTAGCTAGCTAGCACATGTTTGTCATATTAACATATACGTGACATAAGTCAAAACACCTCAAAACAAGACATGGTATCAAGAACAAGATGAAACTAGCTGAAACGAGCCACTTACGATTCTCCACAAGGCAGCTTCTTGTCATTGTTGCTAGCTAACTGGCCATCCAGAATCACAACAACACACAGACCTTTGTCCCATTTGAAGCGTGTGCAACATTCGTGACGTTGCCAGCTAACCCGTTTATATGTATAAGTCTGACTGACCATAATAAGGCTACATATCTCATCCCCTTATAGAATATTCTATCTATCATCTATCTATGACATTTACATTTTAGTCATTTAGCAGATGCTCTTATCCTACTAATGTTTAGCCCTGTCTTATTAGTGGAGATATGCACGCAGAGGCCTCGACATGTGTACCGCCAGTGTCACACATTTAGCTACAGTCTATGTGAAAGAGGGGTGGGGGTGGAGAGAGAGGGAGATGGAGTCGACAGACTAGAATATATCGAAATAAAGAAAACGGTGGTTTGATTCATTCTGAAAATTGCCAGATTCAGTTCTTCAACCCATGGTTACATAAGACAGATAGTTACTTAAGGCAAAAACAAAAGTAATGTGGTTGATCGGGCGTATAACGCGACGTCTTGCCACTCAAAGGTTGCGAGTTCAAATCTCATCACGGACAACTTGAGCTTTTTAGCTAATTAACAACATTTAACTACTTACTACTTTTTAGCTACTTTGCAACTACTTAGCATGTTAGCTAACCCTCCCCCTAACCCTAACCTTTACCCTTTTAGGTAACCCTTCCCCTAACCCTAACCTTAATAACCCTTTAACCTAACTCCTAAACTTAATCTTAACCCTAACCCCAAACCCTAACCCCTAGCCTAGCTAACGTTAGCCACCTAGCTAGAATTCATAAGATATCATACGTTTTGCAAATTCATAACATATAATACGAATTATAATTTGTAACATACAGTATCAAATGAAATGGGTGATGGACATCCACAAATTAATACATACCATACGAAACGTAACATATCATACTAAAAGGAGTGTCTCGGATTTATGTCCAGGTTGTAGGATGACACAGCCAAGTATTGCGCCATGCATTGGGTTCAGACTGTTACGGCTTGGTCTGCGCTCCACTCATACCGATTTAATTAGCATACATGTCTTTTTAAAAATATTATCAACTGGTACTAATGAGCCTTAGCAACAACCACACAGCCCTGACGGCATTTACAGAGGAAGCAAATGAAGGTAAACAAAGCAATGTAATTAAATAGAATGATAATGTCGGCTATACCAACTGAAGGGAACTAACAGTTGTTTAATATGTGTGGTTATTAGGTCTACTGACGGTCAATACTGATAGTGGCTAATATTTAACATGATAGAACTAGTCAATAGAGAAAGTCAGGGTAGCCTATACTGTCATTAAGACATTGGAGAGTGCCCATCCCTGCAAGTTAAAAGGCCGTACAACTTAAATTGTGCATAATGGCACAGCAATTTCATAAACTTTACTGTGGGAAAGTTGATATGTTGATATGCTTAAATTTGCTGCCATATGACTGGTTTCAAATTTGTCTCCAGCGATTTATAAGGTACAAATAGATCAACAAGTGTAATTTATATTTACAATTGCCTTATCCAAATGAATTACTAATTTACCTAGCTCTTATCAATAGCTCTTATCAAGTTGTAAATTATATTGCATGGAGAATGGTGTTATTTCTATTGGGAAAAAAGAAAGTCGATGCTTTTTCCACTTGGAACCGTAAGGTTCGCTAGACCTTATTCGCACGTGAAGGTGGTGGGATTATGAGGGAAGTAAGTCATCAGAATTCGGCGTATCTGTAGACACACCTCCGCCACACTTTCATTTATTCAGTCTCCACTACAAACGAATAGCAGGTGAATAGCATGCTATTCTCATGCTTAAGTTCAAAGTCAGAATACGCATTGAGAGAAAAGTGCATAAAAAGGGAATTATGCTCCATTTAAGCACGCTTCACTTGGGTCAGAATTCCCCCCTTAGAGAAAAGCCATGATTTAGCCCAAATCACTCGAGTATCAGTCTTTGGAGCTCTAGGGCCCCTGCCCCTCCACCCCCTCCCAGGATCGGCCTCTCATTCTGGGCCGTGTTTTCCCGGCCTGCTGGGTGTCAGCTGGAGTAATGAGATATTTAGTAGAGAGAGCGAGAGAGCCCCGTCTCCAGGGGGAATACGCTCTAACACAAGAGGCCCCAAACTGACTTTCCTCCGAATGCAATTTTCTCCCTTCTTTATCTCTTGTCTAGCTCGTCAGAATGAAGGGAGGAATTGAGTGCTGGAGAGAGGGAGTAAATATGCCTGAGCTGCCTTCAGCTAAAGAGACATGTTCATCTGCTGATAGATACAGTCAAACCCTCAGAGATTAACACACAGTGACAGAGACACCCACACTCAGACAGACACACAGACACACACACACAGGTCCTTTCAGGCCAGCCCTATAGTATGATAGAGTAGTGATATAAACACCATCTGGTTAGGATGGCGATCACAGTATGAGCCAAACTCCCTGACTGAGTCTGAAAACTCGCCTCCAACTAAATGTTTCAATTAAAAGCTTTTTATTCTCCCGTGGCAAATTGTGTGTGTTTGAGCAGGTTTTGCCCCCAGTTAGGCTTTGATTTCAGCGTGAGTAATGTAATGGTGTGATATGATAGATTATAATGTCTGTGGTTTAGTGTCCTCTGTAGTTAAATCACTGCCGCCGTGTCTTTTATGTTACAGCTCACTGTTTAGTGTGTGTGTGTGTGTGTGTGTGTGTGTGTGTGTGTGTGCCTGCGCGCAAGTTCTATTTTCTTATCCGAACTGTCAATATAATATTAAATATTCAGACTCAAACCCAGTACTGTCATCAGCATATTGCAGCTGAACAAACAGAGACCGACACACACACAGGGAGAGAGAGCGACACACACACACAGAAACACATGTACCTCATTTACGGACACAACGCTCTGATTCTCTCTCTAAGCTCTCTAAATCTCTTTCTCTCACCCCTCTCTCGCTCTCTTCTCCCTTTCTTTCTAACCATCTCTGTTCTCTCTCTCTACCTCCGTCTACCTGTCCCTCTCTATCTGGCTCTTTCTTTTTCCCACTCCCTCTCCGTGAGATGATGAAATACTTTTAGAACTCAGGAAATCGCTTTCTGTGGGGGGAAAAAACCATTCTGGACTGTAAGATAACTGGGCCCTTACGGGAAGCTAGTCCCTTCCCCTTAGTTTTGTGTGCTTGTTAGTGTCATGTTACGTGTGTGTCTGCGTGCATTGTGCGTATGTTGTGTTAGGGTTAGTTTGTAACCAATTCCTGTAAACAAATCAACATGTCGGTATATTTTGAATATACATTTAGGAAATTCCTTGTGCAATCCTGAACCCTGCTTCCCCTTTCTCTCCCTCCTCCCTCCCACCCTCCCTCCTCCCTCCCTCAGGGCTGCTCGTCTCCCATCGTGGTGAAGTTTGCAGACACGCAGAAGGACAAGGAGCAGCGGCGCCTGCAGCAGCAGCTGGCTCAGCAAATGCAGCAGCTCAACAATGCCACCACCTGGGGGAGTCTGACGGGGCTGGGCGGCCTCACCCCGCAGTATCTGGCTGTAAGAGGACACGCCGCGTCGCCCACCCCTTACTGCAGCCCCGCAGCCAACGCATCCATCACCGCCGCAGTCAGTGCCACCCTCCCCGCCCCCCACTACCCTCCCTGCTGTCGCCAAATTCCGACCCCCCCCTGTCCACACCCCTAGAGAGTCAGACCCCCCCCTCCTTTCCCTTTCGCCCTCTCCTCCCCCTTAAGAGTCCACTCCCCCCCTCCTTCTCCCTCTCTCAGGGGGTGTAGCCATGACAGGGAAATGAGGCCTTTGAATCATAGGGGTCAACGTTCAATGGGCGGGGCCAATCATTGGTGTGATCCAATAAGAGGTCTTCCCCATGTCTAATATTGTTGTCCTATATGGTCACAGTGGTGATTGATTGACAGATTGGCTTGTGGTGTTCAGAAGCCTCATTCCCCCTGCCTTCGTCAGTACTTTAGAGCATTTCAGAACCCCCCTCTCAACTCATTCTTAGGACCCCCTTACTCCGGTAGCCTCTTTCAGAACTGACCCTCCACACTTCCTCTTTCACTCTGAAACCTAAAACTTCTGTCCCCAACTTCTCTGAAACAGACCAGTCTACTCTTCCTTGAGTCCTCTTCATCACAACTAGGATCTTTTCTGAAACTGTAAACTTGTAAATAGTTGTAAAAAGTTGTAAGCAGTACATGTACATAAGCCTTTGAGGGGCATGTTTTTTGACAGTTACTCTCAGTATTCTATTCTGAAATTGTACATGTCTCAGTGACTCAGTGGTTAGATGTACAGTAGTAGATGTCATATACAGTTTCCTTTGGAAAGTATTCAGACCCCTTGACTTTTTCTACATTTTGTTAAGTTACAGACTTTTTCTAAAATGGATAAAACAACAAACAAAAAACTCTGCAATCTACACACAATACCCCACAATGACAAAGCGAAAACAGTTTTACCTTATTTACATAAGTATTCAGACCCTTTGTTATGAGACTCGAAAACTCAGATGCATCCTGTTTCCATTGATCATCCTTGAGATGTTTCTACAACTTTATTGGAGTCCACCTGTGGTAAATTCAATTGATTGGGTATGATTTTGAAAGGCACGCACCTGTCTATATAAGGTCCCACAGTTGACAGTGCATGTTAGAGCAAAAACCAAGGAATGAGGTCGAAGGAATTGTCCGTGGAGCTCCGAGACAGGATTGTGTCGAGGCACAGATCTGGGGAAGGGGACCAAAAAATGTCTGCAGCATTGAAGGTCGCCAAGAACACAGTGGCATCCAACACTCTTCCTAGAGCTGGCTGCCCTGAGCAATCGGGGGAGAAGGGCCTTGGTCAGGGAGGTGACCAAGAACCCGATGGTCACTCTGACAGAGCTCTAGAGTTCCTCTGTGGAGATGGAAGAACCTTCCAGAAGGACAACCATCTCTGCAGCACTCCACCAATCAGGTAGAGTGGCCAGACGGAAGCCACTCCTCAGTAAAAGGCACATGACAGCCCGCTTGGAGTTTGCCAAAAGGCACCTAAATACTCTCAGACCATGAGAAACAAGATTCTCTTGTCTGATGAAACCAAGAATGAACTCTTTGGCCTGAATGCCAAGTGTCACGTCTGGAGGAAACCTGGCACCATCCCTACGGTGAAGCATGGTGGTGGAAGCATCATGCTGTGGGGATGTTTTTCAGCGGCAGTGACTGGGAGACTAGTCAGGATTGAGGCAAAGATGAACGGAGCAAAGTACAGAGAGATCCTTGATGAAAACCTGCTCCAGAGCTCTCAGGACCTCAGACTGGGGCAAAGGTTCACCTTCCAACAGGACAACGACCCTAAGCACAAAGCCAAGACAACGCAGGAGTGGCTTCGGGACAAGTCTCTGAATGTCCTTGAGTGGCCCAGCCAGAGCCCGGACTTAAACCTGATCGAACATCGCTGGAGAGACCTGAAAATAGCTGTGCAGCAAAGCTCCCAATCCAACCTGAGAGAGCTTGAGATGATCTGCAGAGAAGAATGGGAGAAACTCCCCAAATACAGGTGTGCCAAACTTGTAGCGTCATACCGAAGAAGACTCAAGGCTGTAATCGCTGCCAAAGGTGCTTCAACAAAGTACTAAGTAAAGGGTCTGAATACTAATGTAAATGTAATTATAAAAACCTGTTTTTCCTTTGTCATTATTGGGTATTATGTTTAGATTGATGAGGGGAAAAAAACAATTGAATCCATTTTAGAACAAAATGTGGAAAGTCAGGGGGTCTGAATACTTTCCGAATGCACTGTACGTTGTTTATATAACCCATAGCCCACATGCAGTAATGATGCCAAGATCATGATGATACTAGCGGCGCTGAGATAGTGAGGGTGATCACTGTTTCTATTTCCAATCCCTCCTCCTCACTCTGTTTCTCTCTCTCTTTTATTATTTGTCTGTCTGTCTGTCTGTCTGTCTGTCTGTCTGTCTGTCTGTCTGTCTGTCTGTCTGTCTGTCTGTCTGTCTGTCTGTCTGTCTGTCTGTCTGTCTGTCTGTCTGTCTCTCCTCTCTTTCTTTCTCCCTCAGTTGCTTCAGCAGGCCACCTCCTCCAGTAACCTGGGAGCCTTCAGTGGGATCCAACAGATGGCAGGTGAGTCCAGTAGATGTACACACACACACACACACACACACACACACACACTGAGTAGTATTATAGAAACTATGCAGTAGTTTTATAGGATGTCGCTGTTGTTCAGATTTGTTTTGAGTCTGTTATCAATCAGGACAGAAGAGTGTGCTAGGCCTCAAAGGAGGGATGTTTAGTCCGGCAATAAGGCTTCCGAGAAGAGAGAGAGGAGATAGGAGCTCTGCTCACCAGTTCCCCCTGCTGGTTTCTTTGTCTTTTCCTCTGCATGTTCTCCTACCCACACTCCCAACTGTCTCTCTCCAGCCCCTTTATCCCTCTCCTTTGTTTCTGTATCTCCCCTCCTTCTTCCTTCAATTCCTTTCACTGAATCCCTCAACCTCTCATCCCACCTACCCCCCCTCTTTCTCCCGTCCTCCTACGCCCTTCCTCTCTCCCACTTGCCGCCTTAGTCCCACTCTCTCTCCCTCCCTCCCTCCCTCCCTCCCTCCCTCCCTCCCTCCCTCCCTCCCTCCCTCCCTCCCTCCCTCCCTCTCCCTCCCTCTCCCTCCCTCTCTCTCTCTTTCTTGCACTCTCCCTCTCCTTGGGTGCTCAGTAAGCTGTCAGCTCCTAATTGTAGACTGTTTAGCTGGCTGACAGAGAGAAGCAGAGGGGGAATATTTATAGCAGCTATCGGCACAGGAGTACTGTAATTGCCAGCACCGCTGAAGGAAAAAATACATAATAATAAGTAGTGAAAAACTCAATGGATCTGAGGAACTGGTTGTTCCAGGGGAGAAATAATGTATTTCTAAAGTAGTAAGCTCATTGGCTCAAGTTTTTGTCTTGCAAAGTAGGTGGGTTGAGCGTTCTGGACTTGGGGACACATTTTTAAGAGACAGTAATGTTGGTTGATGTGGTGTAGTTGAGTGAGGATGGGCTCTGAGGATCTTTTACCTCAGCGAATGGCCGTTAGAACTCTCTCTCATACACACACAGCTACAGGAACGCTCAGGGACTTGGAACTGTTGGAACTGGAAGCGAAATCGCGGCTGCATTCCGGAATCCTTTTGGCCGTCCATCTGTCGCTGGGCAACCGTACATGATTGGCAGGAGATGTGAGACAACTCAGTGACATCTGTTCCCAGTCTGAGGAGTCGGAGAGCTGTGAGAGGCTCAATTACTCCAATGAGCATTCAATTAGAGCCAGCTAGCTAGCTAGCGCTAACGATAGAGCCCCAGCCCAGCTCAGCCCAGGTGGCATACAGAGCCTCTATACAGACATAGAGCTATATAGCCCAGAGCACACAGCACTGCACAGCCTCCCAGCTTTATAGCCCCAATACTGGAGCTCCTGGTGTGTGCAAAGCTGTCTCTGTGTCTCTCTTCCTCTTTCTGATAAATGTTGTAGTTTCAGGACAGGTGCTCTCTGCTGTTTGACATTCCAGATGAAGTGTAGCCATTGTACATTAATAGCTTCCTTAGATCTGTCTTTATGAACAGGTACTGTAGAGAGGTTTGATATTATAGATGGCAGCTGAGAATAGAGCGATTCGGTCCATATTAAAATGATGGTACGCTGGTAGCGTTGATGATTGTTCTGCTCTGTTCTGCTCTCTAGTACCCCCATAGCTGTGTTTCTTAGTCTTAGTCATCCTCCAGGGCCCTAAAACTCAACTCTAGACCTCGAAGCCAGTTCCACTGCCTTTTTAAAATTGTTTCCCTCTAATCAGGGACTGATTGGGTGCAATTAACTTTGAGGTAGAACAGAAAACCAGCAGGCTCTGGACCTCGTAGGGTAAGAGTTGAATACCCCTGCTCTAGGGAATAGTGCTATAATCCTCCCTGTTTTGCTTGATTAAGTGGCATTAGGCCCCATCTGTGTGTGTGTGCGTGTGTGTGTGACTGACTGAGTGTATAGAGTGCAGGGTCAGATCAGTGTCTCTCCACTCAGCCAAGCCTGATTGAGTCATCTGCTCCACTCTAAACCCACAAAGTGACAAAGCCAGTCAACAGTGCTTCCCTCTATCCGCAGAGTGGAAAAATATAGTGTTATACAATACTATAGGGAATACTTACAGCACACATACAGTGGCTTTCACCATGGTTTATCAGAGTGTTCGTGTGAAACAATGGTCAGACAGAGGAAGATGAGCTCTTCTAGGGTCTGTCTGGTTCCTCTTAAGGTTTCTTTCTCCTTTACCACTTAAGCACTCTGTGACCATTTTTCTTTAAAATGCTAATAAGATTATAAATTGTCTTATAGAGTTGAGTTTTACAAGAATGATGTTGTTTATCAGGATGACTGGTTGGAACAAGTTTTCACAATATGCTACTACATATATTCATAATCTCAAGGTTATGAAGGGAAGAACATAACTGTATTGTCTTGGAAATAGAGATTATTTTCCCCAGCCTGCTCTTTTCTGAGGTTAAACACATATATATGAGTAGGCAATAGCAGACAGCTGGTGGATGCACACGTGTTGTTTATCGCATGAGAATTCTGCCCTGTGACTGCATCCTACACACACCTCCTGTCAAGACCGGTTGTCATGGCAACCACAGAACCAGAACATTCTGATCAGGCTGTTCCGGAAGAAGAGAAGACAGAATATTTCAACGCTTGTTCTTTCACGCTGTCAGACGGGCCAATCGGGACACGAGCACCTCACTAACCAATCATACTTGCACCTTCTCTTTATTGGTCATGCTGGGTTTAGCCATCTTGTCCAATGATAACTGTTCAGTGAAAACATAAATCACCCTAACCCCCTTAAACCATTCACCCAGGTGCCAAGCTCAGATTTTCGTCATGGTGTCTCGTTCATGTGATGTGATGTTGTGTGTGTGTGTGTATATTCATGGTACTGTATATACATTCAGACTGTATATACGACACATACCTCGCATTTGACAAGGTGTCCGCCCCTCTTTCCTGGATCCATAAGAGTGTTATATAAACGGTCGTAGTTCTCTCTGTGAGTTGGTCGTTGGAGCTCCATTGCTCTGTTCTACAGAGTGATTGTCTGCTTTATGGAGCCTTGTCCAGCTGTCTCTCAATACGCCAAACAGCACTTCAGCATATGTCCAATCTACCATGCCCTATTTCTCTATTCACACACACTCACACACACACACGAATGCATACATACACACGCACTGCTCACACACACGCTTTCTCTCTCTCACACACACTCACACGCTGCTGTCACACCACAGTGCAGGGTGTGAGGTTGAGTACCCCTGGAGGTGTCTAATGGTCGTTACTTTAACATCAGTCAGAGGCTGGCATGGCCTCATTAATTATGCTTAAGTAATGGCCCATATGCTAATGCCATGTAGCTAATGAGTAAACCAGGCTACAGTTAGCCTACATACTAGACTAGAGTTGCATACTGTACATGAATTACTGCCTCCAGAAACCTCCCGGCAGAGAGAACAAAGCTCTATGTTAATGTATAGTCCAAATGTATACCTTGTTATACTACACGTTGTTATCTGTAAAAGACAACAATAGAATCAAAGAGGAAGCTAGACAAAGTAGGATAGATGACGCCTTGAGATGTTCCACAGGTCTTTATGGAACAGCTTGGACAGTTGGTTGCCAGTGCCGGCTCTCTTCCCCCTTGCAGGAGTTTAAGTCCAGCCTGTCTGTGTGTTAGTGGTCCACAGTTGTCAGGATCACCTCTGTCTTCGATTGGTAATATCTTGACACCTCCCCTGAATAGCGGACAAAGATTAGCATTGATAAGTACAATAGTAATGTATTCATATAGCACTTTTCACGTCAACCACCATCCACGAGTAGCACCCAGCTTGTCAACCAGAGTAGAAGACTCTCTTCTCCTTCGGCGTCCACACGGTTAGCACACGGTTCCGGTGCGGTCCAGACGTGGTCCCCAGGTTTGACAACACCCTCTTTGGCTCCTCTCCTCCAGGTATGAGTGCTCTGCAGTTGCAGAACCTGGCCGCTTTAGCAGCAGCGGCGGCGGCGGCCCAAAACTCAGCCAGCCCCAACGCAAACCCCCTGTCCACCAACGCAGCCTCCCTCGGAGCGCTGGCCAGCCCAGGTAACGCCGCTTCAGAGGGGGGTCAAACGCGGGGACACCTGCCCTCCTGTCCTACCATCACCTTCATTTTCATTGTCATCAGCAATACCATCATCTTCATCATCATTGCTGATGATCAAACCATCTTCATTATCTTCGTCGTAGTCATTGCTGTCGACACCCACAAGATATCCCTCTATGGTGTGTGTCCGCCATCTCTTGTTCATGCGTGGTGTTGTTGTTACCATGGAGACCCCATGCCGTGTTCGTCCCGGCCTGCGTGTCTGTGTCTGACAGCGCTTCACCTCCTCATCGTGTCATGTGACGTGTACACCCTACGGCCATATCATTCCGTGTCCCACGCGTTGTGTGTAAAACGTACTATAGCTCAATGTCGTCTGTGTTCGGTTTCTGCACTGAGAGTTGTCTGTGTGTGGTTGTTTGTGTGGGTTGGTTGTGCCTTTAAAGTGATTCTCGTTTGTTCGCTTCACACGCCCTCTGAGACACAGGAACTTTAAGTGCAGTGGAGTTGTTTCCGGGGGAGGGATGGTTGTTGGCATCCTTATGTGTCGTGTGTGTGATGTGCCTCTGGACATGGCCAGGGTCTGGAGTCTAGAGAGAGAGAGAGACAGACAGACAGACAGACAGACAGCAGTCAGGAGTTCTCTGGAGGAGATGGGTAACTGAGCTGGGTTCATCTAGGTCACATTGAGAAACTCTTCTCTCCTTCTCTTCCTCTTCTTCACTCTCCTGCTTTCTCTCTCTGCTTTTCTCTTATTCTGCTCTCTCTCTCTCTCTCGCACCCTGTTTCTTTGCTCTCCTGTCTACTCCAGTCTTTCTCCATTATGTTTAACTTCTCCTGCTTGCTCTCCCTCTCTCTTTTTCACTCCATTTGTCCTCTCTCGCTCTCTCTCTTCACCATCTCTCTTGTCCTCAGCCTTGCTCCTCCAGTTCCCTGGTTGCTGTCTTTTCTGGAGCAGCCTCGTAACAGAGCGTGAATAAGAGCTTTGTTTAGTGTCTCTCCCTCTCTCTCATGAACCCATCACCCTTCGTCTGTCCTGCTCCCTGCTTTCACCCAGCTGCTTAGCATAGGTTTGAATGCGCATTTCTCTCTCTTTCTCTCTCTCTCTCTCTCTCTCTGTGTGTGAATATCAGAGCTACATGAATAGTGCATGCTCAGACTCTGCTCAGTGCCAATGAAAGGCGACACACTCTCCGTCAATGACATTTTGACTGAATATTAGTTTCAATTTGATAAAGATAGCCATTTTACCATCGAGAGACTGCCACGCTTTTCATTTTCACTAAGTATACTTTCTGATGCAGTGTAAGCATGACATAGAGGGGTGTGTGGACATTTGTCTATTGGACAATCAAATAAACCACTGTCTGTAAAGGACAATTGTTATTCACCCTCATTGCACTTAGGGACCATACAGAAGTTAGGCATGTTCTTGTCACTCATGATCTGCTCTTGTTTGATTATTTTGTATTTGTGTGTGTCACAATCGTGTCTGTGTGTGTCTGTGTCTCTGTTCTAGGGCTAAATTAACCTTGTAAAAAGAAATAAAAAAAGTACAGTATGCCGAGATATATCTCTGTCATACCTAGGGATCCTAAACAGGAATCTAGCGAAGGGTCTAGTTTAGTCTAGTTGGTCGTCTGGCACTCTTGTTTGCGCTCTTGCCTGCCTGTCTGCCTGCTTTAGGTTTGGTCATTACGTGAACGCTTCAAGAAAAAACAACCAAGTCCCTCACCTTTTCATAGCTACACACGCATCCACAACTACTGTGTACATCGTGCTCTGCATTTACAGTACATATGTGTGAGGGATCTTTATATGTACACTTACCTGGCAGCTACACTCATTTCTAGGACATTCAGTGTTGAATGAGGGCAGAGACATATTTATTCCCTGCCTGCCACTCTCCCGTGCTCCAGTTTGTCTGAGCAGGGAGGATGTTGTTGCTTATATCCCTAAAATGTCCACTTGGATGTCTCCGCTTCTCTAACACGTGTGCTTGTTGTCTTGTTATTCCTTCCTCTCCTCCTCCCCCTGGTATCCTCTCTTCCCGACAGCGGGCACCACAGCCAACTCCTCGGGCATGAACTCTCTGACCTCTCTGGGCACTCTGCAGGGCCTCGCTGGCGCCACCATGGGGCTGAACAACATTAATGCACTAGCAGGTAGCGTCAACAGTGAGTATTCACCGACCATCGGCCGCTCACCACTCATCTCACCACCACCGCCATCACCATCGCTCAGACACAGAGATACGCTGCTGTTGCAGAGAAACATATCTAGAAACCACCTCCAGTATGTTTTACAAACATGCTTAATAATAACACTGGTAATGATATGAAGACAGTACTCTAAACACTACCAAAGTCCCGGGTCAAAAGATCTGTCACTGTGGTAAACTATGCCCATGGTAGCCTTGCTATGTGGCATCTCTCTGTGTCCTCTCCTGAAGAAGTCACCTGTTCAGCCTGGCTTTATGCTCCAGGCTGCACCTCCCTAACCCACCACATCCTCACAAAGACCATGGCTACCAATATATCCATCCATCCATCTATTCATTAATCCATCCGCTTCCTGGTTGTGTCACACAGGGTGGTGCCTGTTGTAAGAGTGCTGGTGTTTATGTTGTCACTTTGTCAGCGTGCTGATGTCGCTTCACGTCTGTGTGGTGTCGTGTACGTGTCACTAGTGAATCTGCACACTCGTGTACAAGTAGAGGTACATTTTTTCAACAACAAAAAAACAACCTTTTAGTAGAGGTGAAGGGAAGAAAATATTCTGCAACTCTAGGAAGAGTACGGAAGTGGACTTCCACTTCAGCTTGTGGCCTTCATCAGGTTGTAGTAACTCAGTCTACATTTATGAGATGAGCTGTGTCCCAGTAGTCGTAGCAGGCCATGTTAGTGAGTTTCTCTGATGGCCCCAGTCTCTGTCCTGTCATGTCCTGCTACACCTCTGGGGGAAAGTAAAAGTGTGTAGTCTTAATCAGTGTTGTTATGACAGCAGAGATCCTGTAAAACCAGCCCATTCTCCACATATTCTCCCCTGACCTTTTCCTGCTTCTTCTACAGTTGCCATATCCGCTTTATAAATCACCCCACCGCTCAAACACGATGAGAATGCTAGTTTCACATTAATCTTCTTCTCTCTCACCCCTCCTTCTCTCATTTAAGCACATCTAGGCTTTAATTGAAGCGTAAAGGTCAGCGGTGCAATTATTCCTGAATAAATGAGTGACCTATAATTTCCAGCGCCGTGGTCATCATTTACATCTCTGTCAGATGGTGGCGGGCGGCGGGACATTTGGGAACATCGACCCCCTCAGACTGTTGCCCTGCTAGGCAGTAAAGCCACACTAACAAGTGTAGCTGTCATTTTTACCTCGCTGCTCGTCGTTACCCTCTAAATGGCCAAATAAGGACGGGGGCATGCCAGGGACGTGCCGTTTGATTGGTGTTTGACACTTGGTCTGGGGTCTGATTGGTCTAACAGTAGTGAGGTGATTTCTCCTCTGTGTGGGTGGTGAAAACGTCAAAGAGCGATAGATTGAGCGATGCTATTGAGGAGATTGAGATGTTGGTTCTTGAGTACACTAGCGAGTTCTGAAGTGTGGATGTTAAACTCGTACATTAGGCCTTGAATGTATTGTGTGTGTGTTGTGCAGTGGGGGGGGGGGGGGGGGCTAGGGATGTTGTCATGGTGATCTTTCAGCGGCTGGCAGCTTGTTTCTGCTGTGGTGTTCTAGTTTGCATGGGTCAGGCCAGGCTCTCCATTCACCTCTGTGTTACTTGTTTTAATGTATATTACGTGTAGGACAAGTGTATTATGCGTGTGTGTGTGTGAGAGATAAAATAAATACATATTTTATGCATATAGTTACATATCCTGTACAAAATGTTTTGAAATGTGTTTTACATTGTGATATTTTTGTGTATTGTAGAAGTGCTGTCCTGTAGAAGTGCTGTATGTATGTACAGTGAGGGAAAAAAGTATTTGATCCCCTGCTGATTTTGTACGTTTGCCCACTGACAAAGAAATGATCAGTCTATAATTTTAATGGTAGGTTTATTTGAACAGTGAGAGACAGAATAACAACTAAAAAAATCCAGAACAACGCATGTCAAAAATGTTATAAATTGATTTGCATTTTAATGAGGGAAATAAGTATTTGACCCCCTCTCAATCAGAAAGATTTCTGGCTCCCAGGTGTCTTTTATACAGGTAACGAGCTGAGATTAGGAGCACACTCTTAAAGGGAGTGCTCCTAATCTCAGTTTGTTACTTGTATAAAAGACACCTGTCCATAGAAGCAATCAATCAATCAGATTCCAAACTCTCCACCATGGCCAAGACCAAAGAGCTCTCCAAGGATGTCAGGGACAAGATTGTAGACCTACACAAGGCTGGAATGGGCTACAAGACCATCGCCAAGCAGCTTGGTGAGAAGGTGACAACAATTGGTGCGATTATTCGCAAATAGAAGAAACACAAAAGAACTGTCAATCTCCCTCAGCCTGGGGCACCATGCAAGATCTCACCTCGTGGAGTTGCAATGATCATGAGAACGGTGAGGAATCAGCCCAGAACTACACGAGAGGATCTTGTCAATGATCTAAAGGCAGCTGTGACCATAGTCACCAAGAAAACAATTGGTAACACACTACGCCGTGAAGGACTGAAATCATGCAGCGCCCGCAAGGTCCCCCTGCTCAAGAAAGCACATATACAGGCCCATCTGAAGTTTGCCAATGAACATCTGAATGATTCAGAGGAGAACTGGGTGAAAGTGTTGTGGTCAGATGAGACCAAAATCGAGCTCTTTGGCATCATCTCAACTCGCCGTGTTTGGAGGAGGAGGAATGCTGCCTATGACCCCAAGAACACCATCCCCACCGTCAAACATGGAGGTGGAAACATTATGCTTTGGGGGTGTTTTTCTGCTAAGGGGACAGGACAACTTCACCGCATCAAAGGGGCGATGGACGGGGCCATGTACCGTCAAATCTTGGGTGAGAACCTCCTTCCCTCAGCCAGGGCATTGAAAATGGGTTATGGATGGGTATTCCAGCATGACAATGATCCAAAACACACGGCCAAGGCAACAAAGGAGTGGCTCAATAAGAAGCACATTAAGGTCCTGGAGTGGCCTAGCCAGTCTCCAGACCTTAATCCCATAGAAAATCTGTGGAGGGAGCTGAAGGTTCAAGTTGCCAAACGTCAGCCTCGAAACCTTAATGACTTGGAGAAGATCTGCAAAGAGGAGTGGGACAAAATCCCTCCTGAGATGTGTGCAAACCTGGTGGCCAACTACAAGAAGCGTCTGACCTCTGTGATTGCCAACAAGGGTTTTGCCACCAAGTACTAAGTCATGTTTTGCAGAGGGGTCAAATACTTATTTCCCTCATTAAGATGCAAATCAATTTATAACATTTTTGACATGCGTTTTTCTGGATTTTTTGTTGTTGTTATTCTGTCTCTCACTGTTCAAATAAACCTACCATTAAAATTATAGACTGATCATGTCTTTGTCAGTGGGCCAACGTACAAAATCAGCAGGGGATCAAATACTTTTTTCCCCTCACTGTATGTATGTGTGTCTGTCTGTATGTATGTATGTATGTATGTATGTATGTATGTATGTATGTATGTATGTATGTATGTACAGTACCAGTCAAAAGTTTGGACACACCTACTCATTCAAGGGTTTTTCTTTATTTTAACTATTTTCTACATGTAGAATAATAGTGAAGACATCAAAACGATGAAATAACACATATGGAATCATGTAGTAACCAAAAAAGTGTTAAGCAAATCCAAATATATTTTATATTTGAGATTCTTCAAATTAGCCACCCTTTGCCTTGATAACAGCTTTGCACACTCTTGGCATTCTCTCAACCAGCTTCATGAGGTAGTCACCTGGAATGCATTTCAATTAACAGGTGTACCTTGTTAAGTTAATTTGTGGAATTTATTTCCTACTTAATGCATTTGAGCCAATCAGTTGTGTTGTGACAAGGTAGGGGTGGTATACAGAAGAGAGCCCTATTTGGTAAAAGACCAAGTCCATATTATGGCAAGAACAGCTCAAATAAGCAAAGAGAAACGACAGTCAATCATTACTTTAAGACATGAAGGTCAGTCAATCCGGAAAATTTCAAGAACTTTGAACGTTTTGTTAAAGTGCAGTCGCAAAAACCATCAAGCGCTATGATGAAACTGTCTCTCATGAGGACCGCCACAGGAAAGGAAGACCCAGAGTTACCTCTGCTGCAGAGGATAAATTCATTTGAGTTAACTGCACCTCAGATTGCAGCCCATATAAATGCTTCACAGAGTTCAAGTAACAGAAACATCTCAACATCAATTGTTCAGAGGAACTCTGGGTCATCCTTTCCTGTGGCGGTCCTCATGAGAGACAGTTTCATCATAGCGCTTGATGGTTTTTGCGACTGCACTTTAACAAAACTTTCAAAGTTCTTGAAATGTTCCTATTGACTGACCTTCATGTCTTAAAGTAATGATTGACTGTCGTTTCTCTTTGCTTATTTGAGCTGTTCTTGCCATAATATGGACTTGGTCTTTTACCAAATAGGGCTGTCTTCTGTATACCACCCCTACATTTTTACATTTACATTTTAGTCATTTAGCAGACGCTCTTATCCAGAGCGACTTACAGTTAGTGAGTGCATACATTTTCATACTGGCCCCCCGTGGGAATCGAACCCACAACCCCGGCGTTGCAAGCGCCATGCTCTACCAACTGAGCTACACGGGACTGTGGTATTTGGTAGCATTGCCTTTAAATTGTTTAACCTGGGTCAAACGTTTCGGGTAGCCTTCCACAAGCTTCCCACAATAAATTGGGTGAATTTTGGTCCATTCCTCCTGACAGAGCTGGTGTAACTGAGTCAGGTTTGTAGGCCTCCTTGCTTGCACACGCTTTTTCAGTTCTGCCCACACATTTTCTATAGGATTGAGGTCAGGGCTTTGTGATGGCCACTCCAATACCTTGACATTGTTGTCCTTAAGCCATTTTGCCACAACTTTGGAAGTATGCTTGGGGTCATTGTCCATTTGGAAAACCCATTTGCGACCAAGCTTTAACTTCCTGACTGATGTCTTGAGATGTTGCTTCAATATATCCACATAATTTTCCTTCCTCATGATGCCATCTATTTTGTGAAGTGCACCAGTCCCTCCTGCAGCAAAGCACCCCCACAGCATGATGCTGCCACCCCCGTGCTTCACGGTTGGTATGGTGTTCTTCGGCTTGCAAGCAACCCCCTTTTTCCTCCAAACATAACGATGGTCATTATAGCCAAACAGTTCTATTTTTGTTTCATCAGACCAGAGGACATTTCTCAAAAAAGTACGATGTTTGTCCCCATGTGCAGTTGCAAACAGTAGTCTGGCTTTTTTATGGCGGTTTTGGAGCAGTGGCTTCTTCCTTGCTGAGCGGCCTTTCAGGTTATGTCGATATAGGACTCGCTTTACTGTGGATATAGATACTTTTGTACCTGTTTCCTCCAGCATCTTCACAAGGTCCTTTGCTGTTGTTCTGGGATTGATTTGCACTTTTCGCACCAAAGTACGTTAATCTCTAGGAGACAGAACGCGTCTCCTTCCTGAGCGGTATGACGGCTGCGTGGTCCCATGGTGTTTATACTTGCGTACTATTGTTTGTACAGATGAGCGTGGTACCTTCAGGCATTTGGAAATTGCTCCCAAGGATGAACCAGACTTGTGGAGGTCTACAAATATTTTTCTGAAGTCTTGGCTGATTTCTTTTGATTTTCCCATGATGTCAAGCAAAGAGGTACTGAGTTTGAAGGTAGGCCTTGAAATACATCCAAAGGTACACCTCCAATTGACTCAAATGATGTCAATTAGCCTATCAGAAGCTTCTAAAGCCATTACATCATTTTCTGGAATTTTCCAAGCTGTTTAAAGGCACAGAGAACTTAGTGTATGTAAACTTCTGACCCACTGGAATTGTGATACAGTGAATTATAAGAGAAATAATCTGTCTGTAAACAATTGTTGGAAAAATTACTTGTTTCATGCACAAAGTAGATGTCCTAACCGACTTGCCAAAACTATAGTGTAACAAGAAATTTGTGGAGTGGTTGAAAAACGAGTTTTAATGACTCCAACCTAAGTGTATGTAAACTTCCGACTTCAACTGTATGTATGTATGTTGAGTGAATGAGTATGTATGTATGTATGTATGTATGTATGTATGTATGTATGTACTTTATGTATGTTGAGTGAATGAGTGTGTATACATGTATGTATGTTGAGTGAATGAGTGCGTATGTATAATGAGTGTGTGTGTGGTTAAACACAACCTGCAGTGGAGCTCTAATGAGTAAGTGCACTCTTCTTTTTTTTTTATTGTTGGGTTTTATGTAAAGTTGCTCAAATGCTCTCAGGTATGGCGGCCCTAAACGGAGGCCTGGGCGGCGCGGGGCTGACCAACGGCACGGCGGGCACCATGGACGCGCTCACACAGGCCTACTCAGGGATCCAGCAGTATGCAGCTGCAGCCCTGCCCACCCTCTACAGCCAGTCCCTGCTGCAGCAGCAAGGTGCCGCCGGCAGCCAGAAAGAGGGTCAGTGGGCGTGGGGTGGAGACAGGGGGCGGGGGGAAGGGACAGGGGGAGGGAAGAGGCAAGAGGAGGGTGGAGGGGGTTCTGGAGAGTTGAGGGGGAAGTGAAGGAATCAAGGGGTGGAGTGTTGGGAGAGAGGTATGCCCTCCCAATACAGCCAGTCCCGACTGCAATAGTCTAACTTGCACAAGAAGCTGTCTAGCGAGATTACTAATGCAACAACGATACTAACCACCGGTAGCCAGAAACAGGATGAGCACTAAGGGTAGAGGGGAGAGCATAGTGGAATAAAGATGTATGCATTAACTCTCTATAATCTCTTTACTCTGTATGTCTCTGGGTTTAACCCTTACCCTGTACTGTCCCGTGTCTCTCTCCTGTTAGGGCCTGAAGGTGCCAACCTGTTCATCTACCACCTGCCCCAGGAGTTTGGAGACCAGGACATCCTGCAGATGTTCATGCCTTTTGGAAACGTGGTCTCTGCCAAAGTCTTCATTGACAAACAGACAAACCTGAGCAAGTGCTTCGGTACGTCCGCCAGTACTAACGCACTGAAAACACACACCTGTGTATGAATTACATGTTGTATTCATTTTCAGTCATTTGAGTTTCTTCTACATCTCCTACATCCTTTTGTGTACCCTCTCTCTCTCTCCTCTTGTACCCTGTCCATTTCCCTCTCTGCCTCTCAGGCTTCGTCAGCTATGACAATCCCGTGTCGGCGCAGGCAGCAATTCAGGCCATGAATGGCTTCCAGATCGGCATGAAGAGGCTGAAGGTGCAGCTCAAGCGCTCCAAGAACGACAGCAAACCATACTGATCTTAGCTGTAGGGCCTATCTGCTCCCATGTTACCACTGCTATGGTAAGTCCCCATACGAGCCACGACCTCTACACAGGGACTGGGGGAGGGAAGGGGAGGGAGGGAGGGGGGAGACAACATTTGACCACCAGAGGGAGACACTACTTTCTCCTTGTGTTCTTTTTTGAGCTTTTTTGTTTAGCAGTATTATTTATTATTACTATTATGATTTTTTTTGTATTATCTTTCACATGAACGCTTCCATTACCACCTTTATTTTGTACCACTTTAAAAAAAAAAGTAGCTATCATGGGTAGCTTTTTCAGTTGTAAAACATTTAATTTTCTACGTGATTATTTATATACTGTTATGAGAAGAAATTCGTTACTCGAAAATCAGAGTAAGAAAAAAACCAGAAGCTATATGATTTTGTTTGTTCTCTTTGTGAACCTGAGGCCTGATGAAATGACGATATAAAGGGTTCATTTCTGACACACCACGCACTGATATGCACATGACCCTTGACCTCCTGGTGTTGGTTTATGGGCCAACCGCCGCTGCTTCTCTGACCCCTGATGCCTGCTGACAGACACCAGGGAACAAAGGGTTAAAAAACTAAACGTAGTGGCCTCTCACCTGTTAGTCAGTCAACGACAGCATCCCATACACTCCTCTATCAAAACACTCCAGCTATTTCATTATTATCATGACTCCAGTCTTATTTCTTTATGTGGAGAATGTTTATTTCACACTAAAACAATGTTAAAATACTATGATTTTCTGGGTCAGATCACATTGGTCTTTGCTGAAAGGGATATTGTGTAGAACATTTTCAAAGTAACATCCAGAATCTGATGAAGGCTATAAGAAAAAAAAATTTATGGGTGGGAAGTTAACTGAAAATACTTGATGTTTCTTGAGAGATAAAAAAAGATATTCAAAGTACCGAAACCCACAGGCCTGTACATTTTATTTGTAAAAAAAGCAGTTCTATTTTTATACAAAATGTTTACTGCCTCAGAAAAAAAAAATGTATTTATTGCCTATCGTTAAGTTATTGGACTCCTATAAAGAACAGAATCTGTTAGAATAGAACCTTGTCGAGTAGTCTTCTAGAATTCGGAACTGTAGAATTCTCTAGAACAGAGCCACGTTCACACCTCGCTCTGCCTCTGCTCCCTTCACTTTCACACACACCTCTCTCTGTCTGTGCATCACATCTGTCCGTCCGTGATCAGCTCTTTCTCTCTCTCTCTCTCTCCATCAGTATCGATACTTCACCTGTCAAATTTCAACCTTTCCTTGCGTTTAGTTTTTTTGTTCATGTGTTTGTTTTGTTATGTTTTGTTCGTTTGTACTGTACAAAAACTTTTAAACAGTTTCTCCCAAATGACAATCCATCCTCCTTGCTCTCTAGGAGCACATGGTACTGATGGATCTAACTTTGGGTGCTCTGTGTATGAGTGTGTGATAGTGTGTTTGTACCGTAAATGTGTGTGCGTGTGTCTGTTAGTATTAATCCAGATTGTATATCATTTTTGTACAAAAAATGAAATAACAAGAGATCAAAAAAATTGCCAATTGTGTAGTGAGTGGTGTTGCCGTTATGACCTGGTGGTTTGCATTGTTGTTTTGTTGTTTGTTGTTCTCCTGATTTTAATGCTGTAGTATTGTGGTGCCCTGGCTCTCTGTTCTGTGTGTAACTCTCTCCTCTCCCCTGTTTTCTTCCTATAGAACCCATCTCCATGCCTGTTAGCTCATCGTTTTCCTAGCATGTCTCTGTGGCGTGGCGTCCAAAAAACAAACAAAAAAAAAAGTCTCATCGTCCCGTCATTGTTTTCTGATGTCTTTTCTGAGCTCACCTGATCATAACCTGGTCTCCGCCTACTGACCTTTTGAACTTAGCTTGACCTTTTTGGACTTTTTTTGCATGTGATCTCATTTTGTTCTATTTTGGGGAGGTGGGGTGGATGGGGGTACATTGTGGATGAAGGAGGGGAGGGAGGGAGAAGGGAGGGGGTGAGCGAATCAATGTGAAAAAGTATAGCATCATTCATACAAAAAGACTGAACTCTTACAGACAAAAACAAAACGTTTCTTTTTAAAAACAGAAAAACCCTGTGGCAAAATTATTTCCATTAGATTTATTTAGTTTTGTTTAGTTTCCTTCTTTTATGTTGGGTTTCCTTTTTGTTCCTTTTTTAATTTAAAGTAAACTTGAAAGTTCAGCACAGGGATTGGCATGCTGTCTTGTTTCTGGCTCCACTAGCAATATGAGGCCAGAAGCGGACACTGTCGGTTTCGATGAAAAATAGACTACTTCCAAACAGTTTTGAATAAAAACTGTCTGATCAATATTAGACTCTCTCAGAGCTCTGTAATTGTTTTTACATTTTTCAGGCAGTGTAAAGTTTTTTGATAAGGCCATTTTAAGTGGCTCTGTTTCTCATTAAAGTATATATAGAACCACTTTTTTCTAGAGTAGTTTAAGGTATTACAAAAATTTAAACAAAAAAAAAAGACTTGCCCTGTTTGGGGGGAGAAATGCTACCTACGTGTCACCTTTTGCTGAACTGACTCACAGATAGACAATCCGTGGTTTAAATGCACATGATGAAGAAATGACCTATATTTTCTACTGTTTAAATGTATAGAGCGAAAAAAAAAGAAAATACCTGTAACCCGCGTTAACGTTGGTGCTTCTTGTGAGTTTAGTTTTGGTTTCATTACAAGTCTGACAGTCTTAAGTGTCTCATGTTTTTAAAGAGAAGACTAAAAAAATCTGTTTACTTGAACAATAGACAAAGCCTTTCATATGAATACTATTATAATTGTTCCTTTTGTCTTTTTTTTAAGTAGTCCCAATTTGCAAAATTTCTTGTTGGGTAATTAGCTATATAAAATTCCTAAAAGGTATATATATATATATATGAATAAATAAATAAATAAATATATAAATAACATGTCGGCTTGTGAAGCATCAATGTTATTATAATTTTATTTATATCGTGGGAAACAATATTTAGATGTGTTTTGTTGTTCATTATAATGTGATTTTCTTTACTTATAAAGAAAAAAAGACAAGATCGGTGGAGTTTAGTGCCAAATTCTGAAGGTACATCCTGTCTATAGCGCGTCAGTGTATTTCTTGTGAAATTATTTGATAACATGGGTATTTTATTAAGTGTTTTGTATGGATCCCTCATATGTAAAAATATAGATTTAAAAAAGAGTTTGTTAACTTGCTATTCTGTGGTCTTGTTGCCTGAAACTGTTAATGTTTTGCTTTTTTTGTAAAGATGTAAAAAGTGCCCATGTGTCATACATATATATATATATATAAATTATATATACACACACTCGCACGTACACACACACACACTCATGCAGACCTCACAGTTAACTTTACTTTGTTGTTGTGTATGAGAGCCCCTGAGTGTGAGATCCTCTACAGTCCAGTTTCCATGTCCCTCCCCACCAGTCTTTACATTACTGTTCACACGCTCTCTCTCACAAACGTCACTCGCACACACAGTTCTCACATGAGCCATTATACAAAGCATTCTTCAAAGCCTTATCACAAGCCTTTACACGAACACACTCACATTCTCATATACAAACACCCTCGCTTCATCCGTGCTCTTTGTTTCTTACTCACGCCATAGGAGTTCCGTTTTCAGTTGAGAGACACATTTAAAGCCTTATTTGAAGCTTCATCTCTCTCATTATAACCTAAATCAAGGACACATTTTTAGTTGAAGTTGCTACAGACTGGGAGGGGGGCATCGTTATTTGTTGGTCATGTTTGTTTCACCTCAAACGACATGAATGCATTGCTTTCATGAGGTAAGCGAAGGGCAAGACTTTCACACACAAGCCTCAAACCCTGCCCAGACCCAGACTAAACAACGTTGATAGTACAGAATGATTTTCAGCGGTTTGGTTTTGTTGTTTCTTCAGTTGACAGTTTCTGATGGACATGTACCAGTATTGATAATTACACCATTATTACATAAATATGTTTGCCCTAATGTAAATGTTGTGTGATGTAGTCTAACTGGCCAAAACAGTGTTGAGATGCCAAAGTATTATGTCAAGATTCTCATAGTCAATCCGTTTACATGACACAATGCTGTCTGTCCGTCAGTCTCAGTATTCTGTAAAACTGCCCCGACTCCCTTCCCTGGAAACCTAGTTTACGGTCTGCAAAACGCAGCACTATTTTATACAAAAACTCACCAGTCGCCTTAACCAGGGAGTGTTGTATCGAAAGACTTGTCTAATAGGATCTAACATCTGTATGTAAGTAGGTGGTGTTTGCCAAGTCTAAGTGTACTGTATTGTACTGTACCTCCAGCTTCTCCAACTCTGGGGAAGCATGTCACCATTTTGTCCCACAACGCAGAGTAGAGAAGCAAAATGGCCGCCTTCTTCTTTAGTGTGGCTCTCAAACTGAAAACCAAGGGAAAATAAATAAGTTATTGTTATCCGTTTTATCGTCTTTTTACAGAGTAACAAGGTTTATTTGAAATACCGAGCCAAATGGAGGAGTGTTAGTAAAGTGCAGACGGGAAATAAATTAGATGAAAGGGTAGCTATCTTCTTCAGTTCTTAGACAGCAAAACAACAGTCTCAGCTAAGAGGCAGAGCCTTTACCATGTCAAATGACCAAGTCAATGCCAAACTTCAGTTGAGTACATAGCATATCAAATTGAGTACGCTTACAGACATTTCCTAAAGCAGTAAGCATGAGTAGTGCCATAAAAACAGCTATAACTACCTGCATAAAAGTCATCAGGATTGCCAATAAGTCATACTACACATATATCAGTGTTAATAGACCATTTTGTCATTAACGTGCGCTGATCGTAGTCTCCTTATAAGACAGCTGCCGTATTAGGCCTAAGACCCTTCAGGAATCCTCTCTGTGAGGAACATGTTTGCACTCTAAATACATTAGGTAACATAAACAGACAACTTATTTACATCAACTCACGGTACAGCATAATGTGTTGTGGG